CCTTAACTCCATTGCTACTTGTTAGCTGCCTGTGTTTCGTCGTCAGTTCAGCAACTAACATTGGAATCATAATTTCAAACAGTCTTACTTCAGAACGATAAAGTGTAGCCCTGCAATAAAAACGTTATAAACAACCACCGTTATTGATTTAGTCACCTTCATTTAGCAAACACCTCAAAGGTAATTGTACTGACAAGTCCTTTGTGTAATTTGTAATACTGGAGGCTTAATTAAAAGAAGTCTGTAATATAGGCCTACAGTACTGATATGTTGTAGCCCATCTTTTGTGAGATATGTTATGCCAATAATTAGTGTAGGAAGTTGTGTTATTGTTCTAACAGTTCCTATTCTGAAAAAGTAATCGGCCTACATTTTGCATACTGAAATGAAAGCTTTATTTAACTGCATCAAAGAAGGCAAGGAAGGTCAGACTTTAGAGGGCAGTTTGGGAGTTTAACTTTAACTATAGAGAAGCCTAATTCTGTAAATAAGTTATTTAACGTGTGTGCTGTTCGGTTTTTGTGTTGAAAGATTTGTGCAATTTAGTATTTTCATTCTATGAGCTGAGCCAAGTGACAAGAACGCGACCACAAACTTATAAAAAACACACTAATATAAAGTGAGGCAACAGTAACCAGGCAGAGTGTGATGCTGTTTGTTTTTACCTTACTTTTAGTGACCTTTACACTGCCTCATACGTTTTCCTCTAGTCTTTATTATAGCAGCTATAGGTGGAATCAGTACATACACAAGTAGAATCATAATGAAAAATATGCTAGTAAAATTAGCCTTTGGAAAATGGCTGATGCCACAATATGATAACATCAATTATTCATGATAGTCAGATTAGCTTCAGTTGCTATGCTAACAGAAACCAGAGACACTTTAAAGGTCCCATGACATGGCCATTTCTACTGATCATAATTCCAACTCACATTGGTTTTCTCATACAGCATCTCTGTATAGTATGTGTATTCACTCTCTGTCCTAAACGGCTTGTTGGAGCTCCTGCCCACCCCCCCTCCCTATGAGCCCAGTGGCCGTCTGCGAGACAGCGAGACACAGCCTGAAACCAGCCCGAACACACACACCCGCAGCCTGGCTGGGAGTTTGTGTGTGTGCTCACACACTGATCCACAGCCTCGCCGAGCTGCAACTGAGAAAAGATTGAGTGTGTGTGTGAGGAAGTCCACAGATTGGTCCATTTGGACCAATCCACAGACTTAACGTAACGGCTCCGCGGACGTAACGTAACGGCTCCACGGATTGGTCCATTTGGGTATGGGCACGTCACTGTACCCAGGAAGAAAACAAAGAAATCTCCAACGAGGCGTTCTGGGGCAGCATAGACAGGTCTTTTCTGTGTTAGAGTTTTACTCGCTACAGGGTGTACTTTGAGGGTGTGTGACTTTGCAGACCGTATACATGCAGAAAAACCTTCATAACACGCAAGGGGACAGATAATAACCGGAAAAAATGACCTTTAAGGTTTCCACATAACAGACATCTTTGAGGTACAACATAACTATATATTTGATAGGAAAATTCCTTGCAATAAATAAAATCGTTTGATTTTACAACATGTTAAAGGTAAACCAGAGATACATTTAAGACTTTTTCCTTTGTTTAACGGGAAGAATATATGCATTCCTTCCCAAATAATAAGGTTTGTTAAATAATTAGCCAAGAAACTCATCCATGGTGAAACAAAACAAATACATGTAGTTCTTGAGTTATTCCAAGAGCCCACAACCTATTTACTTTTCATAAACTTGTACACATTACTACAAACCACACAACACTCACCTTTGGCCGGAAGAGTTCCATGACAGTAATCTTCCCATACATGCCCACCTCCTTGACGGGCCGCAGCCCCTCTGCTGTGACCACATAGATCTCCAACCGTGTGTTTTTAGCTATGAGCAGATTAAGGTCATCCGCAGAGGTGAAGTGACCTATAGGCAAAACAATATTTATAATAAGTGAATTACACGGTTGTTTTGGTAGGAGTCGTAGAGGAAAAGATGATAAGGAAAGGTCAGCACTTATTATGGATTTACCTGATTTTTAACATCATGTTTTTGGTTACAAAAACAAAAAGGTATTGCATACTATATCATTCTATAATACTATAATATTGTTAAGCAGACAAAAGCAAAGAATGTTAAAAACTGAGAAACTAAAACCAGGCTCATTTCACTCAGCAACAATAATCAGATAAGAATAAAACACTTAAAACCACAGTTATTACTAAAACAACTTGTACATTGATCAATAACATGGTAAGTTGTAGTGATTTATTAAATGTATAGTAATTTGTCAAAACCCAAACATTTGTTTAAATATTTGAACTGACATGTATTTACCCCTTGAGATGAAATATCTCGTTTTCAAGGGGGTCCTAACAAAGTACAAACAGCAAGACAGTAACAAAATCTAACAAAACAAACAAAATCAAGTCACAACTAACAGCAAAGACTACTACAATAACAAAACAAAACATAGAGATCACAAAGATTGAACAAAATCACTATGTGGCCACAGAGAGGCCATGAACTAAAACATTTGACAACCAATAAAATAAAATAAGTACGGACATAGTGTTTTAAACGTGTGCAATCATCGACAGAATGTGCAATTCACCTCAAAATAAGATTTAAGACATCCGGCTTACATGATTGACAGGCATATATTATTTCCTCAAGATCTTTTGACTGTGCAGTTAATAACTAAAATAAAGAAATTATTTCAACATTGAATAAAGTAAAAGTTGCAGATAGTATCTGTATACTGTCCATCTCTGAAGATGTAGATGTACAGTATGATGCAGGCTTGCAGTGATGCATTTGTATATGGGAATACATTGAGAATGCACCTTGTAAGAAGCCCATTACATTATAATTAGAGAAAATCTTGTTAAAAGAAAAAAAGAAAGAAAAAGTTCGTTAGACACTGGAGTTTAGAGAGGCATGCCATGTGTACATGTCCAAATCTAAAATGTATGCCACAACAAGCTCACATTTGTTAACGTAAATGGGACAAGGATTGCTTTAGCATGACATAATTCATAGGATTATTGTGAGGTGATTCAATTAATACTACAACTTCAAATCTCATTTTCAGCATCAGTATCTCATCGTATATGTAATGGCCCATGTACGTTAGATCTAACGACGACGCCAGCTTTCTAATAACAGGATAAACTATTTGTCAGACGAGCAGGCAGCTAAACACCATCTGCCTGCATGTTTCTCGCACAGTTCAATAACTGCTTATGCATGATAATGTGGGTCAGCAGAGGAAGACGCATTATGATCTGGGGAAACCAAACGCGACACAACAACAGCTAACGTCGGATCCAAACCAAGAACCAACGACATGTTGAACCGGGCCATGTGTGCGCTAGAACATACGTTATATAAACACATAAAGGAGTATGTGTCATGACTTGCATCCATAAAAGTATGCCTAGACAAGCAAGTAAACATTTGACTTAGCAAAACACCAGCTATCGGCTGCTACAGGCCCGTCTGGACCTCTGTATTTGCAGCGCGGGAGCTCAGCTAGCACGCAGGTGGCGAATGTTCATGCAGCCCTGAGAAAAACAACAACCCGCGGAGACTTACCTGTGACGCAGGCGTTCACCGCCGTAGGTTTCTGGGCTGTTACCACGTAGTTGTACGACATTTTTGACAACAACAAAAGACAAACACAAGAGAAGTGTTTTAATCTCAGACAAATGGTAAAATCATTGATAATACACTTCCGGAAGTAGTTATCTGTGCCTACAAACGTAACGGCGGATAAGGAGCGCTCACTCTGAGCTGCAGCGCCTCCTCTGTGGAGGAGGCCTGCTGGGGACAATGGTTAAAACAAATCAGTTATTTAGATTAATACGTATGTTTATTGATCCAAAATAGTTATAACTAGGTTATCAGGCATTACACATGAGTACAACAAATACACTGTGCATATACAGGATACATATCTACTCTACAAAAATAAATATCTGAAGAATACATTTGGTTTTATTGTTTTGTTTTGACAAAAGTGTTCCAAAAGAGTCCGTTTACCTAACGGAAATAAATGTATTGTAGGCCGAGTTGAAACGCACTGCAATATGTACAAATATTATACACATTTACCACTGTAAGTGAAACAGCGTGCTGGAGATTTTTCACCTTTATTTAAGAAGTGTTTTCCAACGTCCGATATTTCAAGGCTCTACCTTAATGCACCACCATGTGTAGCACAGTTGCCAAGGAAACGGAATTCTGTGTATCCAAGGAAAAGATCAACCAAGGATAAGAACAGGAGCTAAAGTATCTATAATTAGTCTACACAATGGATACGACAGGAGATACTGCAGAAACGGGCTATAAAAATATAAAAATAACTGTCATCCGTGGAAATAACCTGGTAAGCTCTTTCCAATTAACTAAATATATAAAAAAGTAAAGCACCTCAAACATGTTTGTTAACGTAAACTTACTCACGTCACGTTAGCTAACTTACAAACGGCTACAACGACAGAAATGTGCTTAACCAACAGAGTTTATGAATGTGCATTTAACCTTTTATTTCAGCAACGGTTTACTAAACCCAAAAACTGAAAGTTAACCTCGTCTTACTGATTGTTATCACCTTAGGTTGGAAGCAAGGCGTGTAATGTTATATTGCTCAAATATTGAACAAGAGTTACCTTTATCTCTTGGTTCAGTTTGGCTCTAATATGAGGCAAGACTGTTATTGTAAATAGATATTGCATTACATTCACTAATGGAGGAATTTACTCACAAAATTCACTTGGTAAACATGGCAAATGCCACATTTTTAGAAACACTTAATTTTGATGTTAGACTCTGTTTCAAGTTATGAGAAGCAACATTTATCCATTGCATAGCATTTTTTTTTTTAAACAATCTGTATATAATCTTACATTAGGTTCAAAACATTTAGTATTTGACCTGTTCTGGAAGATGTTACTCAATTAAATTACAGACTTTCCCCTTCCTTTAGAAGGCTGACATGAGCCATATCACCAGCGTATTTACAGTTATTAGTGTGACTTATCCTGTCTTCTCTTTTCAGCAAGGAAAAAAGACAGACGGCTTCCAGAGTTTTCTGCAGGTTCAGGTGGATGGAAATGTGCTGGGAGAGTCAGACAGGAAGCAGGTCGACCCGGTGGAGCAGCGTGTTGATTATGACTTTACCTGCAGCTTTCACTGTTCCAATAACACTCAGGCTCTCAGTGACCTCGCCCATAAACCCATCATATGTAAGTTGAGTTTAAAAGTGTTGTTCTGTCTCTTGATATCTGATACACTGAAATATCTCAACATCTGGTCGCACACCTTCGATTCTTTCAACTTTTGTTAACTCTTGTTGTTTTAATCTCCAGCGTCTTAAAAGCCAAAGTTAGCTTAGCTGATAATAGCAGATTTAGGCTGCTTTTACAAAGGTGATGAATTGTTATTTTACCACAGAAAAGGTCTCGTATTTCTGTCCTTAAACATGTGCAGCTGACATTTTGTAAAATAAAATGTTGATTATTTGTGATATATTTACAAAACTGAGGATTGTGACCTAGATTCAAATACATCTTACTGCACAAACTGGTGATTTAATGCAGTTTAGTTTGTTAATATTTGTACCAACACTAAAGATGAAACTTACATAGCTCCCTTATGACCAACATGCAAAATAAACCAACTTCAAGTTAATCTTCTTGGGCTAATGTTTAAGTTACTGGCTAAACTGTTAAAGTTCATGTTCAACATCTGAAATCACCAGATTTGAGTTCTTCTGCATTTTTGGTGTCAGTTGATGGTGATATTCATGACAGCATTATTGGTCGTTTTGTCAACCATCCATTAATTATTCTGTGCAGATATCCTGCCTTGACATAGCATGCTCATTCCCAATGAATCTCTGCCAAAAAATGGAGTAAAGACTGACAAGCAGCTTAACTGAAAGATTAAACTGTCATTGCCATAACACTGGTGGTAGTGTGCTTACTGTTGAAGTAGCACAGAGATGTTCCTGAAGTTTCCACACCTGTACCATTTCTCACAGCTCTGTTTAATGGTGTTGTTATGGTCAGTGACAGTGAGAGAGGTTCTGCCCGAGGAGAAGAAAGCTGAGGCGAAAACAGCCGTGCTGGGCCAAGCTGTGGTGGACCTGCTGCCACTGCTACAAGGTGCACAAAAAAGGAAACAGCAACTTACTTCATAGGGCGTTCTGTACAGTGCAACACTCACTGCTGGATCATGGTGTTCTCTTCTGTCTTCAGGTCAATGCAGCTTTTCATCCACAGTTCCACTGAATCCAGTGTACAGCCCCTCAGCCAAAGCTTCTTCCCAGGACATTGGCTCAAAGGTCATTGGTTAATCACTTTTTAATTATATCATTCATCTATTGTCAGACAGGGTCATTGCTTCTTTAACTATCAGAGATGTGACATTCTCTTAAGCACTTCATATAAGGGCACATTTTTTTTTCTTCTAGGTTCTGTCTTTAATTTTGTCGAACTTAATATAAGAGTTAAGTATTTTAGCTAAAAGAAATGTTAACTATATATGTATTCAAGGCGAGATTTGCAACCAGACTAAATGAAAACTGCACAGGGGCCTCAGTTAGAGACTCAAACTTACAATGCGTACATTTTTTGGGGGGTATTAATTGTTACCACTAAGTACAATGGAAGTTAAAATATTAACCTTGCAGTATTACATCAATTGAGGCCTGTCATGGTCCATATTAATTATCAATCCTAAATGCAATGATTCTTTAATAAAGTTACCAAAATAGGGTACCAATGGCAAAAATGCATGTTGGTGACTACACATCAGCCATTATTTTGTCATTCGGCAATAAACTGGCTATTCTAATTGCCAGACATTTCCACAAATTAAAAAATATTGCTCTTAATTGTCCTGCCATCAATCTGTAGACTTATTGTTATAGCATATCTACTGAGTTTCTGTAGCCATTCCTCTAATACTGCTGATATTTAGATGAGTGTAAACAGACGATAACATTTAGTTATCTTTCCTATCATTACTTTCTCTTTTAAGTTTCCAGGAAAGTGTTGGGATCAGACATGCTGCCCTTTTTCTGCCTTGTTGTCAATCTCTAGGTGTACTAATAAAAGCAAAAGCCACAACAATTATCATTGTATGCATTTTCGTATTACGGTAAATGTTAATATATGGTGATAAACGATTTTACATTATCACCAAACTTTTGTTGAGTTAGTCTGGAGAATGAATGGATGAGTAGTTGTTTCTTCCAGATGTGTTAATCAGTGAATGTTCTACAATCACAGAGCAGCCTGAATGTGGAGGCAGCATGTAGGGCCAGACACAAGCAGGTGGCCAACCAAGTCATCCCAAAGTGGAGGAGTCAGGTAATCCCATCAACTCACTAGAGCTAGGACAGCTACAGGGTGAATATCTAATCAAGGGACATCTTTGATCTGTCATATTGAATAGCTCTCATAGCATTCCCATGCCGCATTGCCACAGTCTCTGATCACACTTGGTTTCAGTGGGCAGCAGTGCAGGTACCTCCACCATGTGGACATTTGGCCTATAAGGATGCACTTTATAAACATAATAACAAGTACCAATTGTTATACCTAAAAGAAAGCCTGCACAAGATGAAAACCACTTTGATTCAAGATGAAATGGTAATTTGACCACTTACTGTACTTACACAACAAAATGGCTGGGAATTTGATTTTCATGAAGTCTTCTGGGTGTCAATGATGAACAGAAAAGTTGCCCTGCCAAATCCCTAATCTTAGTCCACAGTATGTCAGATCTTTAATTTGAAAAATGATATTTTCAGACAATGTGATGAAACAATATATTAAAAAAATGTGCCTCATAATTTCACCTTCTTCAGCAACCGACCTTGGATGTGTGTGTCAGTGTGACGGATCCATTGCTGTCTGAGACTGAACTCTCAGGATCCAACCTGCTGAGGGTAACCATGGAGACAGCCTTCTCCATCCCTGAGCCGTGGACGTTGCAGTCTGGGCCCAACCCCCCTCCCTGCACATACACTGCTGCCATGGAGGTCCCGCTGACTGCACAGGTGTTACTCTTTGATCCTCATGTAACTTCTTTAAGCTATGACCAGATCCAAAGACTTTTGTATAATATTCAGTCTGTAACTTTTAAGTGTAGCTGTCCTAGAAAAAAAAGGTAGGAATATCTTATCTATAAGAGTGTCATGGTGCACAATGGTACTAGCAGTGTTCGACCAAAATGAAACCCATGCGGCCCAGTTCAGACCAAGATCAAATCTGAACCTTTCCAGGTCGACACATTTTAATATAACGACTCTATGGTTTCTTTGACTCCCAGAGAGATCAGGTGCTGGTGTTCTGTGAGGGGCAGCTGAAGGCAGGGGGACAGAGGGAGGAAACGGGCCGACAGAAGAAGAGGCCCCATCTAGCGCTGCTGGTCCCGGGGAATCACTTCCTGCCTGCTGTCTTTTCCAAGGAAGAGCACTTCGAACAGGAGGACGGCCAGCTGACTGGCTTAGAGGTAACCACAAAGTCAGCCTGCATCTGTTGCCGATTGTGTTAGCTGCAATGCACATTGATTTAGCAGAATGGCACATTAATGTAACTTTCAAAACATGGAAATGGATGAAAGTGAGGGATTTCATATTATTCATTTTTTAGATACAACTAGACTTTGAAGTAAAAGAGAATAATAAGGCACACAGGCTTGGCTAGTGACTACTGATATTAGAAGTGTATTAAGAATACTAAAATATAAAAAGTAAATTAGGCATAGGGTAGCATTTGTATTACTATAGATTGAAACATCTCAAATTAAATAATTGTGCATGGAAGCAGGCTCAGTTACAGGGTCAGTCATACTTCTGTTCTGAATGTTCCTACAGGACCGGGAGTTTCGTGATGAGTCTGAGTCCACTAAGAGCAGGGTGAGCTGGGACACTGAGATGTGCTGCTTCCTGGATGCAGGAGGAACTACCAGGTCAGCCAAACACACAACTCACTGCTCCATTCTGATCATAATGCTACCTGTTGGCAATAACCATAAAGAGATTATACTGGAGAAGACAAGTTAATTATTAGTTGGACCATCTATGCCAAGGGGAAAGGTATTCTGGAAGTCCTGGAAGTTGTCTGATCTGAAAATGAAAAACCTAAATCTCCAACAAAGCAACATACAATATACTTAACAGTTTAAAAAAAGTGAAATCAAATAGTGTAATAAACATAATGGTGCAAGTAAGTTGCAGATTAAGAAACATGTATACATATAAAATAGAATAAGATGAAGCAGAGTTCAAATTAAACACTGTACATTTGAATAAATACTGTGAACTATAATGATGTATAAATGTGTTGTAAAAATACAATATGTGAGTAGTTGGACTTCAACAGTCTTATAGCCTTTTGGACGACCTGTCCCTGAAAATACAGAGAAGGTTAGAGGTAGAAAAAGATCTGAAAAGTATGTGTATCGATGTTCAGGCTGCGGCAGAGGATCACTGAGAGCAGACTGTGGCCTCTGGAGATTACGAGGTCTTTGGCTCCCATGACAAAGGCAGCAGAGAACAAGACGGTGAGATGGCTGTGATATCAAAGGTTCACTTCAGAAATGTCTCCTCTCTCTGTCTCTACTGTATTGATCATGTGTCAACTGTCCAGCCTGTGTGTGTGTGTGTGTGTGTGTGTGTGTGTGTGTGTGTGTGTGTGTGTGTGTGTGTGTGTGTGTGTGTGTGTGTTCATTTAGCTAGCAGAGGAGGCCCAAGAGATCCCCTTCCATGGAATTGCGTATGTGGACATGGGACGGCTGCTGTATCCTGGAGTCAGCCGCATCCGGGGAGCATACAGCATACTTCCCTTCTCCGAGGCTGAGTTGCTGAAAAAGGTCACTCAAATAGTCACAAAATACTTTAATTTATAAGTTGTAGTAAATAACCTTGGTACCATGGTGGAATGTACTGTTGTTTCTCTATTAAAGTGAGTTTGTCATTGATCTTAAAGGCCAAGCGGAGTGTCAGTGTGTTAAAGGAGCAGGCCAAGGCTGCAGCCAATCAGCGACAAGCTCGTGCTGCCTCCGCTGCAGGCTCCCACAAGGCCAAAGCAGGCAGGAACTCTGATGGGAGGGGAGCAAAGGAATCCAAGGAGCCAGCCAAAAAGGTCAGCAAGGTTGTGATGGTCAGGAGAGATAACATTTGATATAAAACTTTAAATAAGATAATCATATAGGACTTGTAGAGTAAGAAAAGCCATTTTTTGTAACAGGATTTCAGCATTTAGTTAGCACCAATGTAGCCTGTTTTTATTATGTCAGCAACCTGGTAATCAGAGCAGGACGGCTGCAGCCGAAGGCCTGGCTGACACTTTGGCTGAAACGGAACCCCACGTCAATATGGAGGGAAATGTAAGCTTCAACTAACAGCATCACAACTCTGTACTGTATTATACAGAAAGCACCATTTTTTTCAAACTGTCGTCGTTGTTTTAGATCCAGTTAGAGCAGCAGCAATACAAACTCCTACCATAAATGCTTAATACTGTAATATACTGCATCTTTATCCAGTTGCATTTTTTGTGACAGATGTATTTGGAGGCCAGAACCTATATTATTATTGATATAGCCTTGGAGAAACCGCTGGTACCCAAAACATCTTCGGAGGAGCTCTCTAGAAGGTAAGGTCTTAAATAATAGGGAGAGTGTGGCTCGGTGGGTAAGTGCGCTCATCTTCAGATCAGAGAAGCACCGGTTTAATTTCACCTTGATACCCACTGTATCCCAGCATCTGAGCGTGTCCTTGGGCAAGACACTTGACCACCAAAATTGCTCCTGATGGGATTGCCCACAGTATTGAGTCAGTCGCTTTGAGTAAAAGCGTCCAACAAGTAACATGTAATGTAAGAATAAGGGTCCTCTGGTTACTGAGACATTTATTTGACATGTAAACGTGCCTCCTACTTGTTTAAAGGCAACATCTAATATGACAGAATTCCATCCGATGGCACTCTGTGGTCTATTACATTTGGCTGTTGCCCCTTGGGACAATCTTGCACAAATGTACATTCTCATAATATTGAAGTGACTGTTATTTACATATTGATTGTTGTGTTTTTATTTAGCTCTTAATGTGTCCACATGTAAGAATGTGTCTTTGACTGTATATATATATATATACATATTTGCACTCATATTTTTTTACATTTTTATACACATTTGTTTTTATATTCGGGATTGTGGGAAACAGTATTTCGATCTCTCTGTCTGTACAGTGTACACACAAACTGGAAGATTGTCAATAAAGTTGACTTTGACTTTTGACTTTATGTTGAACACGAATTCTGAGATGTGTCTCTATTTCCTGCAGGGTGAAAGCGTTGATTCCACCCAGATCTCCACTTGCACCGGGCCATAGCAGAGCAGAGAGAGTAAAACATTTATTGGGTTTACAGCTTGTATACATGCACACACAGACACAAGTAAAAACACACAGAAGTGGAGATCAGTTTTCTTGCTCAACTCTCTTCATGATTGTGTGCTCTTTCAGGCAGTGCTGGACTTTCACAGGCAGGTAGGCAGCGTGGTGACCCATGTTTCTGACCAGCATGAGGAATTGTTCGGATCGAGATGCAAGGCGCCTGAAGGCAGCAGCCGGGAGCAGATGATGGTTCAGCTGATGGGGTCGCTCAATGTCTCTGGGAGATACTTCGCTTTCAAGGAACAGTTGAAGGTCAACTGCACACATCCCTGGTGGAGGAATCCAACTCAGGAAAATGGATTTCTGGATCCGTAGCCCCTTAGGTTTTGACACTTGTGGTGTGTGTGTGTGTGTGTGTGTGTGTGTGTGTGTGTGTGTGTGTGTGTGTGTGTGTGTTCACTGACCCTCAGGAGCTGAAGCTTTTGTCAGCAAGCTCTATGTGTACCTGGTGGATGAGATGCAACAGCACACACACACACACACACACACACACACACACACACATACATATAGTATATAAATACTATAGTATATGTGTTTATGAACTGTACATTATATATTTATTTTCTCTTCTCCTTCTCTCCAGATTTATTCAGATGACATCAATGATGACTCCCCGGATGAGATGCAGTTGAGTTCTTCTCAGCTCAGACATTTTTCCAGAGAGGCTCAGCTAACTGGGGATTATCAGCAGGCTGTTCAGTACTACCAAGAGGTACCAGAGCATACTCATGATACTTAAGCACTTAATTTAAGTAAATTAGGAAAAGAACTTCCTTAAAACTTTTTTTTTAAAACTGTACTATACTCATGACAAGATGTATAAAAACGAAACAGAGCAGGGTTGACAGCATAGACTGTATATATAAAGGCATAAAGGTATAAAATCAAAATGCATGTATTCACTCTTATTTTCCTCTAGCTGGTGGTGAGGCATCCCAGTGAGCCATCCCACACATTTGAGTGGGGAAGCCTCTACATGAGGACTGGAGACTACATGAAGGCTAGAGAGTGTTACCATGACGCTGTTGCCATCCAGCAGGCGCACCAACCAAGGTGAGAAACCCTCAACATAAAATATCTGTAGAAAAAGTGAATTATTATTTACAAGAGAAGGTGAACAAATGATTTCTGCTTTATAAGAATGAACAATTACATATTAAGAGGAGCCATGAGCTCAATACTAAAATCTTAAGTGTATTATTTTTATCATAATTATTTTTCAATTATTGGGAATAAAATCGTCATGTGTCGATTTCAAATCTGTACACCACTCCCACTTCACCGTCCTCCACCATGCAGCTACTGTTTATAACTGGATATGTGAAATATTTGCTTACGTCTACTGAAGGTGACTCAATGGTTATGTTTGAACAGTGTGATGTGGATAAAAAAGGTGTTAACGCTGAAAGCCTGTGTGTGTTTCCCCAGCCTGATGATGTGTGGGGTCTTGGCAGCGATGTCTGAACATCATGAGGAGGCTCAGATCTTCCTGGAGAGAGCTGCCAGCTTAGACCCACACAGTGTGGTGGCATGGACGCTGCTGGGTGAGATTATAGTCTGTTTCCCTACTCACTGCTGTTTACCCTAATGTGTTTAATGCTCTTAATGTCTTTCATTTTTGTAAAGCACTTTGAATTGCCTTGTGTTGAAAAGTGCTATATAAATAAACTTGCCTGTGAACACATACCGTAGACCATGGGTTCCCAAAGTGGGGGTCGCGAGATGATTTTTTTAAAATTATTATTAATAATAACGTTTGCATAGACATTTTTTTCTTAGACAATCCACTAGCGCAGTGTTTCTCAAACTTTTTCTGAAATGTATTCACTGCACCCTCCCCCCGTCGACAGGGGGTGTGCGTACACAATATCACTTCTTACACATTTTATAAGGTCTATGCTACACAAAGTATCTTGTTAAACCTTTGTTATCAGCATGTCAGTTTTGTATATTCCCAGTTTGATGGATTCTCTTTAAATTATATTATGTATGAATATTATTCCCCCCCCATTCTTAATCTCAAAACAGCAGTGTTGGTGAAAATAAAACAGAGTTTCAGAGGATTTTTGGAAAGCTAAAAGAAAAAATAAGAATAATAAGACTCCACAACATATCAAAAAGGCCTATGTATGAAATTTAGAGAATTATCAACAATGAATAACTTTGGTTGAAAAACATTCATATCCTCTGACACTAAATGACCCTAAATGACCCGGCTATGAGTGATAAGGTCTCTGGGAATTGTACAGCCCCATTTCATGTTTACTGGGAATATCTTCCAGGGTTGATTCATGAGAGCCAGAACGAATCCATCCTGGCAGAGAGGGCTTTTGTGGAAGCCAGAAAGCAGCTGAGGGCAAGAGAAGCAAAGGAGCAAACACAGAGTGAGGAGGAGGAACAAGACAAGGAGGAGAAAAACGAGAAGGAAAACGACCAGCAAGAGGAGGAGGACGTGGCCCCGTCTGTGTGTCCGGCTCCTGCTGTTAAGAAAGGTCAGAGGCAACAGAAGAGTGTAATGTCATTTTCTCGCGTCACATGAGTAAATGCTATTCTTGGAGAGAAAAGCAGAAATGCTAGATGGGACTCTGGTGTTATTTCTGTGCCAGCTGACTAAGAAAAGAAAATGTTAACATGATAAGATAGTACAATATAAGTAAAACACACACTCTGTTGGCCACATTCACTTAGAAATAGGACTCGTCTCATCTTCTGTAACTTTGATACGCTCATTCAGCCTTAAGATAATGGTAGCTAATTTTACCTGACAATGTTACCCTCATTTCCTTTCAGACCCCGAGGCTGGAGAGCAGGACCCAGAGGGGCAGGGAGAGCCTCCAGTACAGAGTGTCAGCTCCAGATCAGCTTCAGCGAAACTCTCCTCCTCCTCCATTTACACAGAGACAGTTCAGTTCCTGCTGCAGCACTCTGCCCTGCAGGTACAAATACTGAGCAGCTGGTGGTTTAAACAGTAACAACAACAACAACAACAACAACAGTGTGCAGTACTGCTGTAAAGAAATTGTGTGTCCCCAAGTTAAGTGTGTTATGCTGAAAAAGGGATTTATGACCACAATTGGTGCTCTAATATCTGGAAAATCAGAGTTACCTGTTGAAAGCTGTTTGAAAGACTTTGGGAAGTCAAAACTAATTATGAGAATAAGACAATATAACAATGATAATCTGCAAGTTTTTTCTTAGACTACACATTTCTGTCGTCTTTCATTGGCTTGCTCAAATGAACGATGGCTACAATTGTCAGCAGGAAAGTTTTAAAGAAAACAAAAAGTTATAGTCGCTTATAGTTGTCACTGTGTTCCTGCGGTCAGATGGCGGGGCAGGCTCTGTCCCTGCAGCTGCTGTGCTCACACGGGGGTCGCAGCGGCTCCTATCTTCTCCATCTGGCCCGGCTGCAAATGCTCAGAGGAGACTACTGCAGTGCTGCAGCCAGCCTGCAGGAGGTGCTGATCCACACAGAGCAGGTACTGAACTCTTCTACTATTTACTGCAACACCACGCGGATAATGTGACATGTACCGGATGGTTTACTGCCTCTGTACTGTTCTGTTAAGTTTGGAATTATACACTTCCTCAAACATGTCCTTTTTGTTTGTAGTTCGAAAAATAATATTGTAATATGATATAATGTGTTTACTGCACAGTGGTGGAAAGTAACAGAGAACCTCTACTCAACTATTGTACTTAGGTGCTATTTTGACATACTTGCACTTTTTTCCATTTTATGATACATATACATGGTGAACAGGATGTGGATGCGTGGGCGCTGAATGGTCACTGTCTCCATCTGCGGGGAGAGGTCAGTGACGCCCAGGAGAGCTATGAGCAGAGCCTTAACTTCCTGCAGCAGCCTACAGACTCCCACCTGGTCCTCCTCCAGCTGGGCTCCATCTACCTCCAACAGAGAAAGGTCAGATATTAAAGACAGGCTTATGGAGGAAGATTTGTCTATACTGTATATATGTGTGTGAACAGATAAATAATCATATGTGTGTGAACAGATAAATAATCTCTGTGTTAATGTGTACTCTGTTAATGTAAAGAAAATACAAAAACAGATTTATAACATAAAAATGATCTGCAAATACGGAAACAAATTCCACAAATAAATTCTTTGGATCTGCTCTCTGATCAGTCCAGCAGTTTACTCTGTTCATGAATCAGCCTGGTTTTTAAAGAAAATACCACAAACTTCACCAGGAACAATTAGGAACTCCGAAATCTGTAATGAGGATTTAAAGAGATAGCTAAATTGGTGAAAAAGCCATGAAACAATTGGCTTTTTGTGTACAAGTTATGATAGGGCTGATGTTCTATTGCTATACCAAATGTGATTAACTATGTGTAATAACATCATTGCGCTGTAGATACCAGGCAGACAAAACAATTATTATCATTACGTTTAAGTTAATGCACATTATTGTAAAATATCTTGTATGAAACAACAGTGTAAATATATATTTTTTTTTTGTTGTGTTTTCTATGTTTAGTTTGAGCAAGCCAAAGTGGTCTATCTGCAGGCCTGCGAGCAGTCTCCGTCCTGCCTGACCTGGCTGAACCTGGGCATCGCCTGTTACCGGGTAAAACTCTACCTCCAGACCAATGACTAGAAACCTGAAAGTATATTAAATGCACATTTAATTCAGTTTTTTAAAAGTTAAAAAAGGCAGTCAATTTTACTTGTTGTATCTTGTGACTTTACAATGTTAAAGGCTGTTAACGTCAGCAATACTTCTCATAGAGGGGTTTAAGTTCTGTCCTAATTCTACTGTGAAGACCTGATGTTATTCCACTGGACTATATAGTTAGTTCATGTTAACAAGAATGCTCTGGGTGTTTTTTTACTTTGTGAGGAAGTGAGTCTTAGTTGTGTTTGTGTGTGCAGCTGGAGGAGCTGTGTGTAGCTGAGGAAGCGTTGACCGAGGCTAACCATCTGAACACTCAGAACGCAGAAGTGTGGGCTTACCTGTCTCTGATCTGCCTCAAGGTGAGTGATGGGGACACTCACTGGCCCCTTACCATTTCAAGCTCTGCCTACCTTTATGTCTACATTCCTACATACAATGGTATGACACCAAGAAATATAGCCTCAACTCAAACAAATGGGGGGCACACCTTTTGAATCCTTTCTCCTTAGCATGATGCTTTGCTCACAAATCACACATGACATTATCATATTGTTCAGTGAGGCTGGATTTCATTTGAGAAGGGATTCAACTTAAGGTCCAACAAAGGATACATCTACTGTGTGTGACCTATTTCCCTTCAGGCTGTGACGGGGGACACAGTTCAGCACACACTCACATTTTAATACCTGCGACTGCATTTTTTAAGGCAGGCTGCAGGGACCTGAACTAACCATGGAATGAACTTTATATTTTCAGTCTGGCAGACAAGAGGAGGCAGAGCAGTTTTATAAGTATGCAACACGGGTGAGTGTGTTTTTATTTTTTAATTCAGAAGTAGGGCTAGGACTGTTTTGATTTTATTGGTAGTTATCAATATTGCTTCAAAATATATATTCAAATTAAAACTAGCACAATAAAACTCAGCACACAAAAAGCTTTTAGATTTCTCCCTGAGTCAGGAAAATATGTCCTTCCTGCACCATTTGATTTTCTTTTTAACTCAAGGAAAATATTTTTAAATAGATTAGTTACTTTTGTTAAGTTATTACACAAACAAACCTAGGCCATTGTCACCATGTTTTTTTATTTCAAAAAAATATCCATCACATGTTTTATGAAAGTCATATCTTTTTTTAATTCACAAAAAGTAACAAAAACGTTTCTCATGACTTGGTTTGCAGTTCCACCTGCAGAAGGAGTCGCTCCTCAAAGAGCTCAGTGAGCTGAAGGATCAGCTCCGCTTCTCTCATCTGCAGTCATGCTTCGGAACAAGCTCATAAATCACATGACCAAGTACATTTTAGAATTTTTATTGTATTTTAAGTATTACACGTCCTTTGAAGATGAGTGCCATGATAGTCAAAGATTTACAGAGAGTGCAGAGATTAGTATCCGGCCATAATAAAGTTCAACCAAGTCCAATACCCACATTAAAAATAAACTCAAGCAACACAGAAGTCTGAAAGGTATATAAAACAACTTCAATTTGGACAATATATTCTGTTAAAAAAGAAAGTACATATTAACATAAAACAAGAACAAGGGCATCTGGTGACTGCTATCAAGAAATTATCGTTTAATCATCATCTCACTTTTTCCATAGCATTTCTACAAACTGAACAGCAAAGAAAGCCTGATAAGACGCTGTTTTTATTGTTGTTCGGAAATGTCTTACCAGATTTTGGCACAATCCTTCCTGCACTGGAAGAAGATGTAAAGTGGAATATATATTTTGACTACAATTTCTATAGAATTGACTTAAAAAGCATGTGTTCAAAAAAGGAATTTAGGCCGGAATGTATTTGTTATTTAAACTTTGGAAATGTAATGTTGTGTTTTGATTGTAAATGGATTTGCTTTTAAAACAAACTGTATTTTATTGAAGCATCTTTACTTCCAATATTTGTTTAGGGTGAGATCACTGTCTAACCCGAGAGAACAGTTCTCGCAGCCACGGTGAATCCTCATAGAGGCGAGGGTCGCCCAGATACTCAGTGGTCCTCTTGTAGAAGTAGTAATACAACACTGAAGCTGTGAAAGAACAAACATGTGAGGAGAAATGATCGTTCAAAAACACCAAAACAAAAATACACTCAATTTCATGGAGCTCTGAATCAGACTGTCAAAAATCCGGAGCAGTGAAATGGCTGAGAGGATTAAAATAATTGTTGATAAACAGCAATGACTTAGGGGTTAGTTAATTACAGGTGCTGACATGTCTGCCTTCAGAAATATTTAATTCCTGAAGGCATTACTAATCCAATGCTCAACTAAGCAGCTAAACACATCCAAAAAAGTAAATAAAAAACAAATAAAGTACAGTTGAATTTCCAATACGCCAGTATAGTTGTTCTATTTCAATATTCAGTCTAATGTTTTGTAAATGGTAAATGGACTGTACTTATATCGCGCTTTATCCAGTCTTTAAGACCCCTCAAAGCGCTTTACATACTGCATGTCATTCACCCATTCCCACCCATTCATACAGAGCAGTGTACCTTACTCTAGGACCTAACATTCACACACATTCACACACCGCTGGCCATGCCATCGGGAGCAACTCAGGGTTAAGTGTCTTGCCCAAGGATACATCGACATGTTGACTGCATGGGCTGGGATCGAACCCACAACCTTCTGGTTGAAAGACGACCGCACTCCCTGGCAGCCACAGTCGCCCTGTCTTTTTAACTCAATTACAACAAATCATACATTAATTACATTACTGTAAACTCTTGTCTTATAACAAACGCTGCATCAACTTTAAATATTGTCATGAGAATCAACTTGCAAAAACATGAGAATCACTTCAGTTATTGTTTCAAACAAATCTGCATCAACATCATTATTATAACTTAACATCCAAATTAAAACCCAACTGCATAAAAACGTTGAGTTGTGTAAATAAATATTTCAATGGTGCTTTTGAGTTTGCATAATTGATCAGCCTTTCCCAAGTGTGTGTGGCTCCTGTTGTAGACTTTGAACAATGATTAAAGGCACTTAAAACCTCAAATGTGATTGTAGACGCAGAGGAATGTGAAAATCCCACCAGCATTTACAACTCAGCAGCAGAGTTTACAGTGTCTGAAGGAAAGCTCATGATGAGAGACTTTGGGACCTTTGTGATTCAGCAGTGATGCACAAACTGGGTGGGTCTCAGACAAAACAGAGACAAAGGAACATGGATACAGTCTTTTCTAATACTTAATAACAATACCTAGAAAAGAAATCCAATTATCCACTTATGAGCTTATACGTGTATGACAATTACACCCGCAAGATGATGTTAGATCTCTGCCTGGAGCACGTTGGGAGATTTCTTTATAGAGCATATAAACTAAGTAATAATGTGACTTAATGTTACTTGTGAGTAGTGAGGGGAAGGATGGTTTGGTGTACTTAATACTTCAAATTATGTTTTATCTAAAAGCATTCACTGTAAATAATTGTGCTCTGACAGTGAAATTCAGCTCCTTCTTATATCCAGCTGGGAGAAAAGCCCAGAGGCTCTACTCTGACAAGCAATTATTCACTCACTAATCTCTTCTTACTGCTGAAAACCAGCATGTCTCAAATCTGAAAACTGTATTTATTTGAATAGTACTGCCTTGATAGCTTCCTTTGTTTTATTTAAATTGAGAAAATACAACTAAATGTCAATCTAAGAAATACGAGGTGATAGACAGTGGCTCCTTTCTTCTAAAAGAAGCAGATTTTTGACATCCTTAACAAAGCTCTAAGGACAGTATTAAGCGTTCAAAATAAATGCATCTGTTTGGCGTTATAGATAACAAATGAAAATGTAATCTTACCAGCTCTTTGGACCAGAAACAGCACCTGAAGGCCGTCTGTCCAAACAAATCTGTTTGTATTCATCCAACGCAGGTTCTGGAAAGAATATACAGAAATATTTAATGGTTATTTTTGGTCTGAACTTTTAATAACATGTTTCTTTTTAAAGGAGGCAAAACACTGTTTATTTGGATGAACTCATTAAAAAAAGACTGATGGGAGAAACTTGGCGGGTTGGGCTGCTCTTCCCCAAGAAGAGATGGAAAATTATTATCTTTCTCATGTAGTTATTCCATTATTTATAGTTTAATTAGTTTATGAAGTATGCGGGTTTTGCCCCCTTAAGAAGTTTCTCAATATAATTTCAGCATTTTTATGAGTTGGACATAAATACATCAATTAAAAAAATGCAGAGACTATTTGGTTCATACAGTTATGAAAAAACGAACATTCATAATACATTTCATATAATATCTCTGCCTATTTGTGCAAGTAGAGCACGTACCATGAGCCAGGAGTGGAGTATGATACTGAAGGTCAGATAGAGAGCAGAGAGCATTAGCACAGCTCTAAAGCGCTCCAGTAATACAGCCACCAGGCCGACCTGGAACACGTAGGTGTTAAACAGCATCAGCAGAATGATGATCAGGTTGAACAGGATTGATATGTCCTGGATTCTGTCGAGAGAAAAGCATGCAAGGAAAGAGGAGAAAATGAGGGACAGGATCAGAAAGATTTCCAAGTTTACTGTCATATTATAGTGCTGTTTTTAAAATCATTTCCATATGACTCAGTGAAAGAACCAAAGCGTAGTATTTCTAGATTCCCCCCTGGGATATGGTTTGAAAAATAGGATGTCATTCTGGCTTACATGAAGAGTACCAGCATGGTGGCGGGTTCAGTTCTCAGCAGCTCGCTGGAGGAGTTGACGAAGAGGTCGAAGGAGAGCAGGCTGAGCTGGATCAGCAACACCAGAGAGTAGTTTCTGGTTTTGAGCGCTTCCGGCCCGAAGGCTGTGCGCCCGGGGGGACTGTGGTGGTTCCACGATGGATCCAAGGCTGCACTGCACTCACACACTCGCTACATAGAAACATCAATCCACTTTTCGAGGCCTTCAAATAACCCCACTCTGAAGTTTGAATGATACACTATCAAAGCTCCATTTTCTGATGTTAAAATAAGTCCTGTTTACTCTGGGGAAACCTTTTAAAATAGGAAAAAGGGACGCATTTTGGGATGAGCCCATGGGAGATCACAGGTGCCAACATGTCATACAGTAGGTGTTGAGTTTTACTGCCTGAACATTAACGGATGTTGTAGCGCAGTTCAATCCAGGGGGTGATAAAAGCATCCAGGTTTCCTTTCACCCTCATATCACATGTATAGTGACCATCAGGAACCAAATAAATCCATCAGACATTCTGAGGAAAGAAACATGAGAGACTTGTTAGTAATCTGAACAACTCACTGTACATTGCAACTCTCTTTTGGTTGTAAATGTATGTGCACTCAGAGGAGAGACATGTTCTATAACTTAACCAAACACAGAACATAGATTGTAAAATGAATCCATGTAGCTGCCTAGTGTTGATCCTTAAAGATCTGAGAAGTATCCCATAATGGTCCTCCTGTGAAATGATTAAGAAGAACTGGAGGAAATAAACCCTCACATGGTAAATCACTTGGGTAAGGGAGTGGCCCTGTGCATCAGTGACTGTAGTATGAGTAACCTGGGCTGCTCTAAGACATGGGCGGACATGTTGGAAGAATACATTCACACAGTGTCATTACAAGCAGACTACATTACCGATCAAGGAGAAACTGTGCCTGCCAAATGATTAGGACTGGCCTGCTTGATACTTTTAGAGTAAGTTCCCCTATACAAAATACATCTTCTAACCTCTAGTGGCATCTTGCATGTTGATAGAGTATGGGTTCATTCTCTGATATTCCTGCCTCTCTCTTTTAGGTTTTGTTGGAACTACTTTTCTACTAAAATATATAAAAATAAACTTCATTCACACTTGTTGTTTTGACTCGTTTGATATCTTAAAATCCGAACAAAGAAAACCCAAACTATTTGCACAGCTGCCAAAAGAGGAAAGCAACTGATTTTTATAGAATTTGGTTGAACCAAACCTTTAAGCACAGCAAGAATATACTGTATAAATGAATATAACTTTTTGCAGTTATCCATGTACAGCTGGTGGTACTGAAACCTCCAGATCCAACACAAGTTAAATTAAATTAAAGCTAACCCTACACCAGGACATGTATAACAGTTTACCGTCGAGTAGAAAGGCATCTTCTCTCTCAAAGGAGCATTTTTTCTGGTGATATGTAATAACATCCCAAAGTTACAGAAAATGATCAAACAAATCCTGAAGTCTTCCTTTCACAACTTTTGTCGAAATCAGGTTCATCATTGCCTTGGATCCACTTGTGAGCAGGATCACTATCCAACATGGCCTCTTCAATCCGCCTGTCACTAGGTGGATCCTATTATGTATCCCGTATTTATCTATTTATAACTTGGTAGGTGTGACAAAGGTCAAGAACCCTTTTGAACAGTGTATGGCCTACCAGAAGACTGTTTATTCTTTAAAGACTGATTGTTGGTTAGCATAACGTCTAGCTCCTTGGCAAAGAAACTGGAGAACCAGTGATGTAGAAGAAAATATTACTAAACAAACATTTCAAGGTGAAGAATCTCCTTTAAGGTGTTTCAGTAAAGAAGAAACGTTTCTTCTCCCTTTTCTTATAAAATGCCCTTCAAAACATTTCAGAAAGTTAGCTTTCCTTTGAAAATAACACTGGTTTAAAAAAGCCTTGTTGTTCTCCTGTCCCTTCATCTTCTAGCTCTTAGTACCATGTAATCTTCTTAGGAAATTCTTTAACAGCTTGTTTCTTTACACAGACGAGATAAATCCTCTATAATACACTGTTTTAAATGATCTATTACTACTAATCAAATGGCTGCCAAAATGACAAAGCGTGAGTAGCCTACCTGTAAATGAAGATTGATATCAGAGGCTGGAGTAGTATCTTTCCAAGCAACTCAAGTGTGCAGGATAGATTGAAAGCTTATGTCCTTCTTAGTAACAGGGTTTATCCCCCCACCTCTCTAATAGACAGGCACAAGGTTTGTGGATGACATCTGAATTTCTCACTTTCGTATGTATTGATTATTTTGTTTATTAATTTTTTTTCAATATGCCAACCGAAATAGTATGAGGATTTTTCCCTTTTCTAACAACAACAAAAATGAATTTGAATGCCAAAAATAAAGATGTAGTCAGTCTGTCAGTGTAACATGGCGTAGTTGAAGATAAAAGTTTCCTGAGATTCTTCAAAGGCTTCTTCAGTCACATTTCCAGATTACGGTAATGCTTCCAGCGCCATATAGATAGAAGTCTATATGAGGCTGAATGCTTCTAGGAAGGTTATCTGGAGGCGAGCCAAAATAAACCACTGTCATCTAGTGGTGAATGTGAATTACTACAAACACACACAACAATCTACTGCATCTACCTGGGCAGAAAAGTGGTCTAGTTTCTATTTTTACAGTGAATTTACTCTTTATTTATGTAGGCCAATATCAAACATCACACATTTGGACTTTTTTTAATTTCTTTAAGGAAGGTGTCGTAGGTAATTACATGTAGCCTACATTCTACATTCTAATAGTTTTTATGATACAAAATGAAGGAGCTCCTCTGAAAACCTTATGTCTTACTACATGACACTCCATAATATGTGCCACCAGAGCCATGTGAAGACGTAGGGAAAGTAGTGGAGGACAATGTTAAAAGCTTTTTTTATCCAAATAATGAACTTCATACAAACCGTATGCCTACTTCATCAACATATTTACAAGATGAAGCAGATATTATTTATTTTCTTCCTTTATCCTTTAAAAAATAACCGAGCTCTCTAGGGGTTGAAAAAGATGTGCAATTGCTGTAATGCTGATACTGTAGTAGGCTATTGATAATTGGTAGAAAAACCCTTCATCAGTATTGTAGTTTGATCATTATTAAAATACATATACTTTCCTTGAATCATTTTTTTTCTCATATATTTTCTTTGAATCGTGATTTTTCTTTCATTTCCCTTGCTTCCTCCTCTGTATCTGTTCGCATCACAGAAGCATTGCCCCGGGACAGAAAAAACACCCAGAAACACGCAAGGTAGCCCGGGGTGGAGTCAGCAGCCTCAGTCCTTGAGCTCACTGTGATTTCTCTGGCCTCCAGATACACACGGCCATCCGAGAGACCTTTATCAGAGTAAAAAGTGTATTGGAAACAGAAGACCTTTAGGAGTATTTCCTAAACATTTAATCGCTTTATTCTACGGAAGATCACAGAAACGGCAGGTAAGTGAAAGCAGGAAGTGCCCTGATAGTGCTTAGCTCCACACTGCGGTGTCGCATTAAGCCGACATGAAGCACTACCGTGATTTTACCATGTAGTTAAGACATCTTACAGCTGTATTTCAAAGCTACGTTATCAGACATGTGTTCAACGTTTTGTTGGTTTCTTTTGAAAGTAGGTCGTTTTGATAACACATGTGTTTTCCCTCATAGCAGCTGTGAGTCGTATAACTTTAGCGTTAGCTCACACCGGCAGAGATGCGCTGTAGCGTCATCTGAAAATCATCGAGGAAACAGGTCTACAAAACTCTGTTTTTATGTCAGTGTGCGGTCCTGTAAACTTATGCATAATAGAGCTTAGCCTGTGGTACAAAAACAAGGTTTATACATGGTTATTGTGAACCCAAACCTTTTACACAAACCATAGGACTTTCCATAGGTTTAACTGCTGAGCCGTTGTCAGGACGGGTTGTAATGACGTTCAGCTAGCTCACTTTTTGTTGTAGTCTGAGCAAGCTAGGTAATATACCTGCAATTATGTAAAGTAATAAGAACATTTACTCAAGTACTCTACTCAAGAACAATTTTCAAATTCTTGTACTTTACTTCTGTATTTCAATGTTTTGCTATTTTCTACTTCTACCCTACAAGTCAGAGGTAAATAGTGTATTTTTATTCCACTATGTTTATTTATTACCTTAAATTACTTAACAGATTTGGATTAATGGTGTGAAATATAATCAACACTAAAATTAGACTTTAGTTACACCTGGAGTACAATTCACAAGCTACCCTGAAGCATACAAAGTCATTGAAATTAGCTACACCTTTGCCAGCTTTGATAACACTTTAATACAGTACATCGCTAATTGTGATCAAAGCATATACTATTTATTATTATGAAATTAGCATAATTAGTACTTTTACTACGTTTTACTAATACTTTGTACTTTCACTTGAATAACATTTTGATTTCAGGACGTTTACTTGTAACAGAGTATTCCTACACTTTGGTACTTCTACTTTTTCTTAAGTACAAGATCTGAGTACCTTTTCCACCTCTAGCTACAGGTAATAATTTAAAACATATATTATACCTTACATTTGACATAGCAGCTATTCAAACAACTGTGTGTTTTTTTATCAGTTGGTTTATTAACACCACATGTATTATTGTGGATTCATAAATGAGTTATATCAATCCAAACTTGGTTTTCAACATTAGTTTGTCATGACATATTAAATGATAACTTCAATCTTGTTGCACACATACGTACTTCCAAGTCAGACTATTTGGTTTTCCAAATCTGGACTAAAAATACTGTTTCCTGTAGTATTGTAAAACATCATGTAAGCAGAGTATGTTTTTCACACAGAAAATATATTTTATTTAGATCTTTGTCTACCAAATAAGTTGGAGTTTTGAATTGTTTCTTTAGAATTGTAATTGTTTAGACGAAAAGGAGATAGACTTAGTACTACACCTGCCACCCTAGACTTTAGTGGAAACATTACATTTAATTATTGGTCAAAGTCAAACAGTGGTATTTTCCGGTTGTTTGAAGATATTCAAATTATCCAAAGTCCTTACTTTGGAGAAACTTCAAATGTGTGACTACTCTGTGGGTATTTAGTGTTTGTGTATAAGATGGTAGAAGTCATCTAAAATGTCCATCACAGTTTATTTTTGCTTATACAGATGAAAAAAGATACCTGGACCTGCTCCAAGTATTTCACCACTGTAATCTCTTAGAGTAGACGAGACAGCCATTATCCTACTTAATGCAATTTATGCTGAGTGCAAGCAACAGTCTTGTTTAATGTGCACTTGAGTAAGAATATCACATCCTAAAATTAGCTAAAGCTTTTAATAAGATGCATCATTGTGAAACTCAACTGTTCTTTTTTTACGCTTAACCCTCCTTGCATAAAGCTCTTGGTTGCTGTCTTGACTCAGCTGTTTCCTCTCCGTCTCTAAACAGTAAAAGGGGGAGTTGTCATTTGAGTCTTGTTTGAATTTAATTAACAAGGTCCCAGTAAGTGGTCCCACTATAACACTAACAGATGGTCACCAGACAGAGCCCAGACACAGGCAGTCAGAGGAGGGCAAGTCTGGGCTTGACAGACAAGTAAGCTAAGAAAATTGTGGGGCTAAAAAAATGGATGTGAGACTTGGGAGAACAGAGATCACATGAAGACAAGTGTTGCTCTGTGATGTGATCTATAAATCTTATTCTATAAATCTAACTTCAAACCTATAGGATCATGGGAAAACCTGTCAAATGTTACTACAGTGTCATCTTCTGCGGTTACAATACAAGACTTTGATTGGATACGCTTCAATCTGTTTCATTTTTTAACCATGGAAGTGCAATTTTTCCATTTCATTCACTTAGTCGATAAAACACCATACTAAAAATATGTGAATTATGTTAAAAGAAGTTTAGCTTCTGGAAGTGTTTGTTGTTGGTACCATGCTTCAGGGAAGAGGGTGGTTTCTAATTTCCAGCCTTTTGGCCGACTCTCAGCTCCTACTCAGTGCTTAGTCATGGATCTCTCTGCATACACATGTAATAACTCAGCTCACTGATTCTGCCTACACTGCTGATCTAATACTTACTCCCCCACGTTCTGCACCCGCCTTGTAACTTCTCATTTGTTAACAGTGCATCACCATAAAAACGAAAGTTGACTTTATTTCAAGCTTTAATATAATTCCGTGTCCTCTGTGCCAACTACAAGCCCCCATTGTACTTTAACAAAGTGTATATTCATTGTATACTGAACTTTTTCGCAAAATAATGCTTAATAAACACATTCTGATATTCTTGAATTCATGACCTTAAACAGAATAGCAACCTTTTTAAATCTAATCTTTTATCTCTTAAATCAGTAGTGTTTACACTTTTGAAATAAGGCCTATATATCAAATGTTTTTGGGGGAAATTGTATAAGGAGTTCCAAAAGCTGACGAGTTCTAAAAGCAAAGCCTCGGTCTTACTTTCACTGTTCTTTAGTTATCGTACTGGCTCCAAACTTTTTGCACATTGGCACATTGGCACTGGTAATCAAAATAAAACTAATGCTTGCTTTTTTAATATGCTGCACCAAAAAGGACGCAGTCACCAGAAGAGTTATTTTGGTCTCCATCATCCTTATCAACACAATACTTTGGGCGAGAGCTCACAATCTGGTTCATGGTCACATGACATCAAACTGAGTGTACAGCAGTATGACATTTATTGAATAAAACTCTTTCTGTGTGTTATTGTCATAACTGATCTGAAATCTGCTTTCTTTTGCAGCATGGGGGTCTATGAGGAGAAGAAGGAAACATGTGGAACCATCTGCCTGAAATACCTCCTGTTTGCCTTCAACTTTCTCTTTTGGGTACGTTTCATTCTGGCCTACTTGAGCTTGCACAGGGAGTTTAATTATCAAAGTGCTTATGCTGGTCTAAAGTGCTCCAAAAGCACATTCATGCTTTCAGATATGCACTTACGACCAGTATATATAACTTTTCATGCAATCTCTTTTTTGTTGATTTCTCCATTGTTTTATTTGGGTTATAATAACAAAGATAAATGCTGTGACCTTGAAACACAGCGAAGCTAAAAGGGAGTCGGGTGGGGAGGGCAAGAAACACAAGCAGTCAGACAATCAGGTTTTAAACAAAGCATACGCTGCTCAAATGTACTTTGTTTGGAAGAGCACACAAAGGGAGAAAAATAAAAAAAAGTGTTTACGAAACTGTCTATCATTTGCACAGTTTACAGACCAGATCTCCAGATCTCAGCATAACTTAACTCAGTATTTGATCAAAAACGACAACTTAAATGATGTCAAAATTAAAAAAATGTAACCCAAATGGTAATAATCCAAATGTTCCATTTACCTCTATGATATCTGGAATACATAGCAGATAAAACTCTTCAACAGAGCCTTTTTATTCAGGCGGCAGATGAAGGCCTGCTGCTTTTCCAGTTCATGGAGTCAAAGCCAAGCTGCATACTTTACAGAGGACACAGACGGTTAATTCAGAGCCCAATCACCCAAAACTTTCCAGTATCAAGAACATGGTGTTCCAGGAGAAAAGCACTACAAATAACTCCATCTTTTGTGTGGAAAAAGATTCAAATCTTAGCAATGAAGCAAAGGGAAAGTGACTCTCTTGCTCTCACGTACTCAGTGTGAAATCACAGTTACATCTTTTCCATATGTGATAATCATCTGTCTGCCAAAGAATCAGATCTCTCTCAAACTGGCAGGCTAACCACACTGTACCTTTTCTTTGACAGATGCCAGAATGACAACCAAATATATATTTCAGGATATTGCAGTTATTTTCATTGATGTTTGTGATTAGTCATTTAGTTTATAAAAAGCATTTTCCAAAATACTCAGAGGTACAAGAATCACAGCAATCAGTCAGAAACGCTTTGCTTTATTACAAGTATTTGTGTTGATTGGCAGTGGTCAGTTTACCTCTAGATGTTGCATGCCCTGTTTTCTATTTATGTTGTTCGGTAGGATTTTGATTTATGACACAGAATTGTTTTTTAAAAGTGTTGGCATTATAGAAGTTTCAGCAAGATGAGGTTTTGCTTGTCCTTCTGTCTCATGCCGACTTCTAAAGGGATATTTTTCCCTTAGTAATTTCCTTAGACCTTATGATAATTCAAAACTACATGGATTAACAATAATCCATGACTTGTTTTCAAAGTTTACATTGACAAATAAGTACATGGTTTAGGTTTTAAAAAAAGGTTTCAGATATTTGTCTGCACCTACTGCTAAAGTAAGTTCATAGATCCAAATCTGCTGTGTTTGTGAACATAATCTTGTAGTATTGAAGGTCAAGGAGTTACGTTTGAGTGAGCAGTGCAGCACACTGCCTTTCATTGATATTGAATACACTTTAGAATAAAATGCATACAAATAAAATGTATAAAATGCATATTTTTTTAACATGATTTTAGAATTCTAAAGCAATGTAGTCCAGTCTTGCCCCTCAGCTTCAAGTACAATTGCAAATAACTTATATTCCATCATCTTCACCCTGTTTTCCTGCTCAAACATAAATACATCTGTAGGTTTCATGAATAGTAATATACCCTGACATAAACGTCAAACATTCACTTCATGGTCCTTCAGACTTTTTTAAATGTTCCAGTGATTACCTATGGTTGCCACTAGAGGTCGCAATTTCTCTTGTGCAGCTTTTGATGACACTAGACAAGATTCACCCATTATTGTTTCCTAAATCGAGGGCAAACATCTTAAACGGACACATGTTTTAACTGAACTTTGATTTTATGTAACTTTTGACTCAAGTCATGAGTCATGAGAAAAACGTTGACAACCACTGGTTTGCACTTTACTGATAATATTTCTAGGAAAATATATATTTTATTTTATATTTGCACTCCTACTGAAACTGCTACACAACAATTTCCCTCAGGATGAAAAACAAACTTCAACATCAAGTCAGTGTGCATGTGTAGATAGTTCAACTGCATATATGCACTACAACATTAAAACAAAACACTAAACAAAATGACTATTACCAGTATTGTAGCACAAGTTAATAACTAGTCCTCCTCATTCACCAGTAAACCACTGTGGTTACTACATTAAAATGGTAAGTAAAGAGTGTTTCCTGGTTTATCTCTGCTGCGTGTTCCTGCCTCACTGTTTCTGGGTGTGTCGTACAATCCCACTCACTGTCTAGCCTCTGAAGCCGTCGCCTTGTCTTTGTATAAATTTAATCTAAATTAGGACAGCTGTTAGATTTACGGCTTTGGAGCAATGACAGATTTCTGTTGCAGCGCTGTGCCATCTGCTGACTCGTCACTGTTGATATCTCACTGATTTAATTTTCCCAAAACAGTTTTCTTAGATAATGCTGAAGATGTCAGACTGTGACAGTTATATGCTGGATGGAAGCATTAATTCCTATGCTTGCCTAGTCTATCCTCAGGGTTTAAGGATTTACTTGGTGCTTGATAAACCCTCAGACTTTATCTATGTTCCATATATGACAAAAAAAGTAGCAAATCCTCTCCTTTGAGAAGCTGGAAACAGAGCACGTTTGGCCATTTTGCCAACCCCTCATCATAATATTGACGACGGCAGTAGCTCAGTCTGTAGGTCTTATGGGGAAGTCCCAGAACGGGCAAACACTGAGTGTGGACTGGAACCAGGTGGAGGTGCCAGTAACCAGGTGGAGGTGCCAGTTACCCAGGTGCTGTATAATAGCTGCTCACTGTCCTTAATACTAGGATGGGTTAAATGCATACATACATGTACATGTTTGTGACGATTACAGGGGATTTCTTCAAATAATAGTTGCAGCAGTGCCTGCTGCTGCTGTAGCTAAGCTTTTCAGCTATCAGCTCCTGCACAATTTCCATGCAGAATAAACTGATTCAGGATCATATTATCTCCTGTAAAAGCAATTGGTCCATTTTATCATTTCACATTAAGCCATCGACAGTCCTTCATTTCTCCTCCTTTGTCACATTGAATCCTGCTTGAGTGATAGATAATAGAAACCTCTTTGTACCGCTCAGGTTTTGTCTCTTTGCATTGTACTGTGTGCTGGTTTTTAACAGATTCTGGCTCCTCTTGAACCGGGTCCCTCTCCCACAGATCGGACTCTCATCATCTGCTCTTCTTCTTCCAGCTGGCAGGTGGCGTAGTGATGGCGGTGGGTGTTTGGACCTTGCTTGAGAAGAGCGACTACATCAGCCTCCTCTCCTCCAAGACCTACGCTGCCTCCGCCTACATACTGGTCCTGGCTGGAGCCATCGTCATGGTAACAGGCGTGCTGGGCTGCTGTGCCACCTTCAAGGAGCAGAGGAGGCTACTGCGAGTGGTGAGAGATCATGTCAGGGTGGAGATAATAGAAGCTGCACATTTAAATATATTGAAGTGTGTGTGACAGTGTGTGAAACAGAAATCATTTCTACTCTCCTACCTAGACAAAATTAAAGCAAAGAGTGGGACTTTGCTACATATCAGGGCTCGACATTAAGGACTGCCCGATGGCCCGGGGCCATCTAGTATTTAGTTCGGGCAATGAAGCCTCACCTGCTGGTGCCGACGGGTGTGTGTGTGTGTGTGTGTGTGTGTGTGTGTGTGTGTGTGTNATATAATCCCTCCATCTGGTTCTAGGTCTACCCCTTGGTCTCTTCCCAGCTGGACGTGCCTTTAGGATGCCACCTGGGCGCCTCCCTAGGGAGGTGTTCCAGGCACGTCCAGCTGGGAAGAGACCAAGGGGTAGACCTAGAACCAGATGGAGGGATTATATCTCTTCGCTGGCCTGGGAGCACCTTGGGATCCCCCAGTCAGAGCTGGTTGATGTGGCCAGGGAAAAGAAAGTTTGGGGCTCTCTGCTGGAACTGCTACCTCCGCGACCCGACCACGGATAAGCGGGAGAAGATGGATGGATGGATGGACATTGCAATTGTTTTCAGTCAAAAATAATTGCAATTAGTTATATTTTCAAAATCGTGCAGTATTAGTACTGGCAGCTTGGAGACATGTTGTATCTGTCAATAGCCGCTTTCACAACAAGTACTTAGCCGGTACTTGTCCCCGGTACTTGTTCCCCCCGAACTCTTTAGTCTCTCAAACTGTCCTAGTAGATCGCGTTCTCAGCGGAATAAGTCCCAGAGGGAGGATTAGGCAAATTAAGCCGCTGACGTCACTTCTTCTTCTGCTTCTTTACTGGCAGGCCGCAAACAACTTCACGGCATATACTGCCACCCCCACCCGCTGTACATGAGGGGTCTGTTTGCTCCCATGTTTTCTTTTGTGTTTCCATAAGTTAGTCTCTCTCCGTTGGTGCACTAGGCTAATGCGAGCAAGTAAAATTGCGGCTTCAAAAACCTTTCAGAGTTTTAAGGGGCGTGGTTTGCAATTCGCCCAGCCAATCAGAAATTGTTAGCGTGGCCGACACACCCACAAACCATGGAAAAGTACCCCAGGAAAGTACTAGCTCGCTAGCAGGGACGATCTGGGGGTGAAAAGGTTTGCGCGAACTAGGGACTAGGCCCAGATCCTTTTTGGTGTGAAACCAAATCTACCCCCCTATCGGCCTAGTTCAGGAGGAAAAGTACTCCAGTGTGAAAGCGCTATATATGTGTTCACAATTAATTTGAACTTTTCATCATCCTCATCCTCATCATCATCCTGCTAAGCATTCCCGTTGGCTGACAGCAGTGAACCAAGTGGGTTTAGTCCCCAGAGGAGTGTGAAAGTCTCTGGGGTTTCCTGTTACCGTGGGGATGTAATTACTTCAGGTCACACTTGACAAAATCATTATGTGGCCTGCCACTGGTGTCCTCTTTATTCTGTGTAAGAGATACAGTAGGAAGCTAATTGAAATCACTTGTCCCCATCACACACACACAAGTAACTATAACCAACAATCACTTAACATGACAGCGTGTGGAACACCAGGCTCTATCACAATTGTCTGTGTGTTAAACAAACTGATGTGATGTTACAGGATGATGACTAAACACAGCTGTTCATGAACGGCTGATTAAATAATTACACAAAGATGACCGATTATTCACGACAACTTTAAATGATGTGCTAAAAGGGTAACAATGCAGTATTCCTTTGTTTCAGTAACATGACTACTCAAGTAGTTGACTGCCATAACCTGTCCACACTGTGAGCCATGGTCAACTTTTCATATATTAATCAAAATCTCCCTTTTCCTTGCCTGAAAATAATCATTTGAAAATGAAACATGCATTTTAAATGATTTATAAGACATAAGGGGAAAAAAAAGACAAAAGGAATTTTGTGCAATGCTTCTAAAAACAACTTTTCTACATCCTAAGTCATAGATAACAGAAGGCAGTGTTTGTCCACGACTAAATGTATGTATAACATGCAGTGGTAGGTGGTAGGGCTTAACGATTAATTGATTTTAAATCGAAATCGTGATTTGGAATGATGCAATTATCAATTTGCAAAGCTTGCGATTTTCTTTTTTTTCTTAACTTAAAAAAAAAATCTTCTTCTTGTGTGTCAGTCATCCACACCTATCAGAAGTGCTGTGCTCCACATGTACCGGTCATTGTTAACCAATCAGAAGTGGCCCATGATAGAAGGTGATAGACAGATTGATCCAGTCACCTGCCAAGTATTTTTGAAATACTTTTCCAAATGGCTTCCAATGGAGCTGTCCTAGATGGTTTGGAGAAACAAACCATCTGAGTCAGGTTAGCAATGCTCCATCACATGTTTTACATCTATTACAGGGTGAATCTTAAACTGAAGCTTGACTTTAAAGCAACCCAACGGAAGTTTCATGTAAGTTTAGTTCTTTCACTCGTAGCTCGGGCTGCGGGGGTGCTAGAGACAGGAGCACGTTGATACGACCTTCCTAGCCGGAGATATAACCGCATTTTACAATAAACTTCCGTTGGGTCGCTTAAAAAGAAATATCTCAAATAGGGATGTCCCGATCACCTTTTTTTGCTCCTGATCCGATTCCGATCATTTGATTTTGACAATTTGCCGATACCGATCTTTCCCGATCCGATCTTTATGCAATGCATTAAGAGGAAAGAAGAAAAAAAAAGCATTCAAGTTGTCCCTTAAGGTTATTTTTTTTAATATAAATTGGATATTCTATCCAACATGGATAAAGCTTCATTTTTTCACAGCAGCATTGGATCAGTTCAGTTGTGCAGCATTGGATCAAAACAAAAATAAAGCTTATCAGTACTTGTTGGCTTACTGCTACAATTAGACACTGCACCCTGCCCACTCTGTTGCCAGATTTGAGAGAAATAAGCAACCAGGTCTATGAAAACAAGCCCCAAAGAAGCAACACATCCATGATGTTGTGTAATTTGAAAGCAAAACTAAGGCCTCAGGATGAGTTAAGACTTTAAGACTTGAATATGGTCATTTTTGTTTTGTAACAATGAATACAAAATTTAAAAAAAGTATTTATAAAAAAATAAAAAATAAAAAAAAATCCAGATCCCCGATTTTTTCCTCCCGATTCCAATCTTTTGAAAATCACGTGATCGGCTCCGATCACGTGATCGGGACATCTCTAGTTGGGATATCTGAATACAGCCACATGTTAATAGAAAATCATGTAATATAAAGTGGCATGTTATTATTGCCTTATAGAGTTTGTATAAAAGTTATACATTTATAAAATGTATAACGTTTTTGAATTATTAGGTCTCATTTTAAATATAAAAGCTGATAATGGTGTATGTGCTTTTCAAACAGCAGCTTGGGAACACACAAAATCTGATTTGTATTTGTTTTTATCAGAAGTCTAGTCTTAAACCTTTTCAAACCAAATGCTCCGTTTCAGGATCGTATCGGTCGTCCGTCAGAAACCGGTATTATTGGAATTGTAGACCCAGAGTGCCGTATGATTGGCCTGCGGCTGTATGACGGGTTGTTCAAGGTGATCCCATTGGACCGGGACAACCGTGAGCTCAAGGCCTTCAACATCAGACTGGAGGAGCTGCAGGTCATCGATGTTCACTTCCTGTACGGCTGCCAGGCCCCCACCGTCTGCTTCATCTACCAGGTAGGCCTACTGGGAAAGGAGTGAAAGTTGGAGTGTGTGTTAGACAGAATAACAAGGGTTCTTAGAAAGTGTTAAACTTTAGAAAAATCCTTAATGTTAACCTTTATGCTTTCAAGGTTAGGCATGTGTTTTGAAACAGTCATTGAGCAAAGCTTGATTCATGGTGTTTCATCTACCCAATTACTCATGTAAACCATTTGTTTTTAATAAACCAACATTTGTCATATTTGGTTATTGTATCTAGAAACGGTACAGAGTAGGGTCAGCTAAATGTTAAATAATCATGATCAAAACATACAATCAAAGTTAATATATCAAATAATTAAAAAGTGACAATTAACATTGACTGCTGTGTTTTAATGTAAATCTTTTAACAGTATACTGTATTATAGAGGCTTTGAGATTTTGGAAACGTTTGGTTTATTTACCTTAAAAATTGTTTGAGGCCTGTACGACGAAGCCGGATTTTCGCTTAGCGAGCTAACTCCAGGGAAAACTCTGGGTTTCCGGTCCTACGACGCTGGTTCACTTCTTAGCGGGCTAGATCTCCATGGTAACTTATGCTGAGCGGCTAGCCTGGTCCGGAGCAGGTTAGGTCGTAGGCTAAGAGCTCAACTCAGTGAAAGCACCGCCTGCTGACCAATCAGAGCTCCGTGTGCGGAGTTTAAAGCTATCAAGTCATATTATAGGAGAAAGGAAAAATCAACTAACTGTGTGAACGTGAAAATGAATAGAATATCAACTCCCATCTTCAAAGCAATCTGTCTAATATAACATTAGCGTTAAGAAAGCTTACTTAAATATCTGCCACAACATAAGTAACCGGATCAAAGTAACATTACGTACAGTCCACGGCACTGTGAGTGCAGACGTCGATGTGTCCCATTATCATGATTCATATCACATCATCATACATCATATATTTCCTTATCTGAGTTGGCTTCTTGAGCCGTATCTGGCCGTGCAACACTCACAGTGTCACATACTGTATGCAGAAGTATTATTTTAAGCAACACATTAAATTGACGAAACACTCGAGACAAATGTAATTAAAGTCAGATCCACTCGTGTCTTAGACGGGGCAGTGATATCATAAACCTGTTAATGTACGCATTCAAACACTTTTTCTTTTACCAGCTGTATTCACCTTGCAGGTGCAGCTATGTGGCTTTTATCCTGGATAAAGTGTTTAAGTCATGGATGTTTAAAGTTGAACTTCTTCATATTTGTCAAATATTATAGTTGACTTTTCATTCAGGAAGTATGACGCTGCGCTGTCAGTACGCTTCTCCATGTTTGTGATTGGTCGAATGCTCCAAATACCACCCCTTTCATGTGAACGCGCCCCTAACTAGATACAGCACGACTGGCTTGAGTTAAGGAGTTGATAACCAGCGTCGTAGGACAGCTTAGCCAGAGCGCGTTTGTTTTGGATTAGGCCAACCGGCTAACTCAAACATAGCCAGGTTAGGTTGAACCGGCTTCGTCGTACAGGCCTCTGGAATACAGATCAGTTTGTTGGTAAATTCATATTGGTGGGACACTTGCTTTTATTATGTAAAGTATTCTCTGAAGCTAAAGATGTCCCGATCCGATCACGTGATCGGGGATCGGAGCCGTTCACGTGATTTTCAAAAGATCGGAATCGGGAGGAAAAAAATCGGGGATTGGGATTTTTCTTTTTTTTTATTAAATTTTTTATAAATACTTTTTATTTTATTTTGTATTCAATGTTACAAAACAAAAATGACCATGTTCAAGTCTTAAAGTCATCCTGAGGCCTTAGTTTTGGTTTCAAATGACAGAACATCGTGTATGTGTTGCTTCTTTGGGGCTTGTTTTCATAGACCTGGTTGCTTATTTCTCTCAAATCTGGCAACAGAGTGGGCAGGGCGCAGTGTCTAATTGTAGCAGTAAG